TTTCTATTTACCTTTCCTGCTCAATGCTACCAATAGCCTCAACTCACTTCTATACCAAATCCTTCTCCTCTCTTCTAATGTGATGCTTTGAGTGCTCTTCATGAATGGGTCAGGGAGTCAGTGAACTGTGCATAAACCAAGAGTAAGTGAGAAGTGAGTGAGGCCAAGGGTTCTGCTGTGAGGATAACACAGGCGCTTCTATGCCTGAACTTTTTTTTTCTTCCCAATCGGAGATCACTATGGCTCACTTCTTGGTTGTAAGATGACTATCCTGACTGTAGGGTAGATAGCTTTAGAAAGGTCAGGTGGTGCCATAGTTTTTAGATGCTCTGAGTCAGGTGCCATACAGTTCAGGAAGGAGGAGGACTAAAACCCACACATACTAAAGCAGGGACTATGCCTTATGCATTTCTGTGGTCTTGGGGCCCAGCCCAGTGCCAGACAACATTGAGGTGCTCAGTAATGAATGAATGATGTCCTTTTCACAGTCACCTTAATGCAGATTTTGAAGTTTTGGGCTTGCATACAGTTATTCCCTTCAGATTTCTCTCTCCCTCTCTCTTCTCTGGGAAGTCTTCTCTTCCCTTTAGATCATGTTCATTTTCCCTGCAATGTGTTGTGATGTATTTCATGTAACTCTTAGATGTAAAACAGCCATGAAAATATACATTTAAAAACCCCTCTTTTAATGCTAGCTGAAATAAGTCAGACAGAGAAAGACCAAATACCATATGATTTCACTTATATGTTGAATTTAAAAAACAAAATGAACAAAAAAATAGAAACAGACTCATAGATACAGAAAACAGACTGATGGTTACTAGAGGGGAGGAGGATTGGGGGAACTAGGTGAAAAATGTGAAGGAATTAAGAAGTACAAATTGGTAGTTACAAAAGTACAGCATAGGGAATACAGCCAATAAAATTGTAATAACTCTAAGGTGCCAGGTGGGTACTAGAAATATTGGGGTTCTCACTTTGCAAAGGATATGATTGTCTAACCACTATGCTGTACACCTGAATCCAATACAAAATAATATTGAATGCAAACTGTAATGGAAAAATAAAATTGAAAAATTCAAATAAAAGACCTAATCAGATACAAAAATAACAAAAAAATATAACCCCCTTGTAAAACCTTCCAAAAATCCCTTCTTTTAGAAACATTTGTACTTTTAGGAGAGGCTGCTTGTAGGTCAAAATGAAACTCTAAGTAGTAGAATTAGTGTAAAATGAAATGGTTCATACATTTCTGGTGTAAAATCTATTTAAAAGGCAATTTGGAAACACAGATCAAGGGCCTTAAAAATGCTTGGTCCATAATGCCACTTCTAGGAAGCTGTCCAAGGAAAATAACTTTTTCACACAAAGATTTGTGTTAAAGAGTATTTATTACATAGCGGGTGCAACCCTTCCTGTCCATCCCCTGGAGGCGTGGTGAGCACAGCGCCACCTCTGCTGAGAAGGCTGCGGAGAGCAACTCCCTGGCTCTGAGATCTGAGGCTGTCAGGGAGACCTTCTCCTTTCAGCCAGTTAACAGTCTCCATAAAGTATGTGGCCCCAGGAATATTGCCTTTGGTCTATTTCATTTTCTCTTCAGATTAAAGAAAAAGAAAAAAAAAAGTATAGTCTGTTTAGATAGGCAGAGGGGAGATAGGGAAAAATAAACAGAATATTTCCTTTTCTTTTTCTTGTTCTTCGTTTTTTTTTTTTTTTCTTTTTTTAAGAGTAGTCTCCCAGACTGAGTCCAGAACTCTACGTATTAAGAAGATCTTGTTACACAATGTTCACATTCTTAATTGCTTACAGTTCTATTTCTTCTTAAGTCAGGGTAGTTTGGTTTAGAATACAACAGACCTTATGTGTGTGGCCGTTTTAGGTACATCCCCAAGAACTTTGCTTGTAGGGAACTAACCAAACATACATTTGCCTTTCCTCTGTTCTTTTAATAACACATTCTTTATCATTTCCATTGAATTAAATTATTTTTCGTTGCTGTCCTGACCAATTCCCTATACAAATGACGTCTTCCCTTTCCCCTCTCTCACACTGTTTATCATAACTCGCAAATATGCAACTATTTGTGCGTCTGTTTCTTTAAGGCCTGTCTCTCTTCCTAGACAGCAGGGGGAGGTCTGCTTCACACTCTATACCCACAGCCTGCCACTCAGTGGGTAGTTATCAAACACTGTCCAACAAATAGATCAATACACAAACACATTTGATTTTGAAAAAAATGATGAGAGTTCATAACAATGTGGGCATCTGATCTTCCCTAATGTTACTTTTAGATCAGCAGAAATTTTTGTGATTGTTCAGAAGAGTGTAAGTGAAAAGTGCTTTAAACCTCAGACGAAATTCATGTAAATTCAAGTTTGACTTGCAATCACCTATGAATTGTATTCTGCGATACAGACTTCTTTGCTTTGAACTTTGGAAAGGGGTTAACTCTTGCTAACAAGAATGCAAAAGATTGTATTATAGTAGAAAGTGAAAACCAACCACCCCTTTACCTCCAATAGCAGCAAAGAAAAAATATATCTGAAGCAAACCTTTCCAGAAATTATAGGAAATAATATTAATAAAGCATAAGCGCAGTTAATATAGCAACACTCCATTAATGGCATTTCCTCACTGATTTCTAAAAAACAAAGACGATATGATTTTTTTAATCCTATAGGCTTTCTGTATTGTTACAGATTAATTAAATCTTTTTTTTTTTTAAATAAGCTACTCATTATATTTTTCCTTGATTTCTAAATCTTGTCTCACTGTTTGAATGAGTTAGAATGAGGGGGAAACAAATAGAACAAACCAAAGTTATGGAGAAGGCATATGTGTGTGAACTTTATTTCATCATGAGAAAATCACTTCTGTGCAGTAACAGAGGATACTGGTTTCTACACGATGATAAGGTTGTTTTTGTAGTTAGATACATACCTTATATTTGTATACAATATATAAAATTCATGGAGGAAATTATTTCTACAGAACAGTTTCTTTGTTGGAAGAGGCCTTGTTCCGTTAGTTTCTTTTAGAAAACGACCCCCAGTTCTGTGACTGTGGTACCAAGGTCGCAGTTCCAACTTTGAAATGTATTAGACACCGCATCTTATGGACATTAAGTGAAAGCTACAAACTACATCCTCCTGCAGGATGAAAAGAGAGACGTGAGTGCGCAAGCTGCTAAGCGGATAACTGATTTTAGCAGAAAAGTATGATTTCCACGATGTATTAGGAGTAGAAGTAGTGTCCCAGTAAGTCTGAGGACATGGATTAGTAACATCAGTAGCGAATGGTCTCCCTGCTCTGACGGCATGCACCTCACTCTTCAGTCACACATCCTGTACACATGGAAATGAGGCCATCGCCCTGCAGGGCCTTCTGCATGGCATCTCGGAGGAACTCTTGGAGGGCAATAGCAGTTACCATAGGACTGTGGGGAAAGAGGCAGCTGCTCTCAAGCTGATAGGGCATCCCAGAGAGAAGATGCTAACATGGTCATCCCAGGGAGACTCTAGCTACCACATCCCCTGTAATCCAAATGGAAACAGACCACGTGGACATTTTGCCCTTGAAGAAATCCTTCTCTTTGAATAGCATCCCTCGATGCTATTACACTAACGACTGTGCCCCACACATGGTTTCCATGGCCAGGGGCCTATCAACCGTGCTGTGGGATTTGAAGTTGTGCTTGTTTTTAACCATGTGAACCATTTCAGGGGCGATTGGCACAGGCTGAGGTTTGTGGAAAGTGTGTGTGTGTGTGTGTGGGAGGAGGGGGGGCGGGGAGGGACCCACCACCATAGTTCTTTTAGCTAACTGACAGTGGTCGGCAAACTCATTAGTCAACAGAACCAAATATCAACAGTACAACAATTGAAATTTCTTTTGAGAGCCAAATTTTTTAAACTTAAACTATATAGGTAGGTACATTGTTATTAACTTAATTAGGGTACTCCTAAGGCTTAGGAAGAGCCACACTCAAGGCCAAAGAGCCGCATGTGGCTCGCGAGCCGCAGTTTGCCGACCATGGAGCTAACATCTTGAATTTGACCCAAATCAACATAATTAGTTCTGCAGAGGGACGTTATGGAGAATGCCAGTAGTGTGGGGTCTTCTATGATTAAAATCATACCCAGAAGGTATGATCTGGCACCAACCACAGATACCCTTCATAGGCTGGAGTTCATGGGTTGCAATTGCGTTTAAAATGAAAATGTTAAAAGCCTCAGAGGTTATACCTGGACATCTGAGCTGGATGGCTTGCCTTCGATGACCAAAAATATTTACAGACCAAAATATCTAGAGACTGACTTCATACAGTGTCCCTAGGCATTCTGACCACGCCTAGAGGGACTGGCAAAGACGAAATCGCAAGGTAATGCGGAGTTGCTGGTCTCGTCCTGTCTGGTGCCCACAGGAAGCCTCAGTCCTGGTGCTGCCGGCCTGGGCTTGGGTGTGAAATGGAAGCAGTCCATGCTGGGTGCGCAAGAGTGGCGGGCTGGCCCTCTCTGAACAGCTCCAGCACCCCACCCATCGGCACCACGGTGGGTCAGACACATCGGCAGCTGGAAAGAACCTCGGCCCACCCTCGGGAGCAAGCAAGCACTAACAGGCGATTGAGAAGCATCTGGGCAACACTGGCAATGATGTGGATGGTGGGGAAGGGGAGCCTGCCCTAGAGCCTAGACACATTGGTCTCACATGCGGGGGGACCTTCAGGCCTCCGTGTTTCAGCTTCTTCACCTGCAGCTTATTTAGAGCGTTACCAAAGGGAGCCGACGGCCCGAGCCATTTGAACCGCCGCCGTGGACTCTTTGGTTTGACACATCCACACACCACGGGCTCCCCAGCGCCGGAGAGGACCAGCGGCCTGTGCCAGGGCGCAGAGCGAGTCATGGCCACACTGCGGAGTGCGAGCGCGGCACTGGCGGGGCTACCTCCGGCTCAGACGCCTCGCAGCTCTCGCTCTGAGGGATACTGCTGAAGGGCCTTACCCTCGGACGTCTGGAGGACCAGGGTCTTGCTGTACTGGCTGACTCCTGTTTTGTTGAAGGCCTTGACGCGAGCGTTGTACGTGCTGTTGAAGTGAAGACCGTCCACGGTGCACATGGTCTCCTTTCCGACATACACTTCCTGAGGGTCGACAAATAACAGGCCACCATTTAACGGGAACCCTTGGGAGGCGTTAGGGGGTAGTGTTTCCCAGTGGTTAGGGGAAAAGTGCTTGGGCATCAGATCTGGCTTTGACTCCTGTGAGCTATTGGGCCATTTAATTGACCTCTTTTAGCCTCAGTTTCCTCATCTGGAAAATGGTTATAGTAATACCCAGCTTATGCGGTTATTATGTAAGGATTATATGAGGTCATATAGGCAAACTGACTATCATGGTGCCTTGTATTTAGCATGGCAGCTTAATGAATGGGAGTTATTAGCAGCGAGGGCTTAAACAATTAAAATTGGGTGTCAGAGATAGCATTATACTTGTTATTGTTAGCATAGCACAGTGTATTATACCTATGAGCTCTTTATCCATCAGTGTGATTTGTAAACAACAGATCTGAAAACATGAGGGTGGTCTCCATGCTGTGTTTATAACTCCAATCATGACTTCAGGAACTGTTGCAAGGACTATCCACTCAAAGCCATAGGAGTATAGGTTTTCATCACAGTACAGAATGAAGGGGGAGGAAACAGGGAAGGGAGAAAGAATGACATTTCAAAGGCTGAAAATAAATCCTAGCATTATGCATGTTTAGCAAAGGTTAGGATCTGCCTCCCTCTTTAGCTGCACACTTTGCAACATTATGCTGATGTAATGAGTAAAAATAATTCACGTTCAAAGCACAGCCTTAAAACGTCAACTCTCTGGTGGGACACTAAGGAGACTGGAGTCTGGGATGGCAGCATGCTAAGGGTTTCATATGGATGATCTAAATGACTCTTAAGAATGTTATTATTATCATCCCCATTTTACAACTGAGGACATGAAGGCTCAAAGAGGTGAGGAATGGGCAGCCACCAGCTCGGTGGTGGAGTTTGGACTTGAATGCAGGCATTCAGATTCCAGAGCTCACAGCACTGCATGAACTTTCTCTTAAGAAGGGCAGGACCATGCCTGGCTGATGTGGATCAGTGGTTGAGCATCGACCTATGAATCAGGAGGTCATGGTTTGATTCCCGGTCAGGGCACATGCCTGGGTTGCAGGCTCGATCCCCAGTCAGGGGTGTGCAAGAGGCAGCCAATCAATGATTCTCTCTCATCACTGATCTTTCTCTCTCTCTCTCCCTCTCCCTCCCTCTTCCTTCCTCTCTGAAAATAATAGAAAAGAAGGAGGAGGAGGAGGAGGAGGAGGAGGAGGAGGAGGAGGAGGAGGAGGAGGAGGAGGAAGAAAAAGGCAGGGCCATTTCTATTCAGAAACTCCTCCGTTCATCTCTGATATGATACAAGGAGAAAGCAGGCCTCAGCTGAGGGCAGGCAGACCCTGCCAGATAGCATGTCCCCAGGAGAGGAGGGAGAGTGGGCCTGAGACTGCACGGCGTGGCACTGAGGAAGTCACTGGTTCTGGTTAACCAGGAATAGGCTCTCTGCTTACCCGGAACTGACCACCATTGCCATCATCCAGCTCCAGAATGTATCCTTCAGCGGGCACCGTGGACAGAGGCGGCTGCTTCCAGGACAGCGTGGCGCTGTTGTTGTGGGTGCAGCACTCCTCCAGCTGTAGGATGGGGGTTGCTGGGACTGGAGAGGAAGCTAAACAGAAATTAGTGTAACCCTGGCTTCTGTTGAACTGCAAACATTTCAGTATCTTGGAATGATAAACATTCCTCTGATAAACAAGTGACTAGACAAAGTATCTGGCCCCGAGAAAGGGGGGGGGGGGGGGGGGGGGGGGGGGGGCCCGCAGAGGGGACCTGACCCGGATTCCCTCCCTGCCTCCAGGAGTGGGGCTGCTTCCTGAGCCACTGTGCTGCCCTCTACCAAGTCCAGGTGGCACTTCCTCCCCTAACTCAAGGGGAGACGAGTGCTCTGTTCTCACTCCCTTGAGCATCAAAGACACTACCTCTAAGGGAAATGGTTTGCAAGGGGGATACATTTCCAGTCCAGCCCATAAAAGCCTTTTTAACCTATACCATGGCTGATAAATCTATCATAACATTTATTCTGAGCCCTACATCCCAAGTTTATAAACTTGAAATTGCCTATTCCTGAGGAATATCTCTGAAACCACTATATTTCTAAGGTCCTGTCATTTCTTTTAAACCAGTGACTCTATTCAAGGCCTTGTGCATATAAGTAGCTAAAACAGTATATTTTTGAAAATTTGGTATCAGTTGACACAAACAGTGATTTCTCAGTTTTGAAACTTCTGAGGAACTTTCATCATTCTTTCAAGGTAGCTATACCTTGAAGACAGCACTAGCTCAAGTCAGTTCTTTCTGCAGGGATAGAACCATCACATGGGAGCCTAGAGAGCAGTATGGGAGCAACAGGGCCTATCAGGGAGGGTCAGGGTGTCTTGTGACCTTGGGAGTATCTGTCACAGTGTTACTAGTCACAACATAGCCCTGTCTCCATTTTGTGCTGGGTCTTCTGTGTTACTTAAAACTGACTTCAGACATACAGACATAGAAATGTTATGTAACGAATCGTGAATCATCCAAGTTCCTATATAAACTCGATATATGTATCTGGGGACAATGTTTTTACCAACTGCTTAACAATTATTTTTCAGCACCAAAATATGAATTTATTTTTGTAGCACTTTAAAATAGGAGATGAGCCCTGACCGGTTTGGCTCAGTGGATAGAGCATTTGCCTGCGGACTGAAAGGTCCCAGGTTCGATTCCAGTCAAGGGCATGTACCTTGATTGCGGGCACATCCCCAGTAGGGAGTGTGCAGGAGGCAGCTGATCGATGTTTCTCTCTCATCGATGTTTCTAACTCTCTAGCCCTCTCCCTTCCTCTCTGTAAAAAATCAATAAAATATATTTCAAAAAATAAATAAAATAAAATAGGAGATGGCAGTTTGGCTCACATCCAGGGACATTTAGATGAACAAAAGCTAATTGTGGAAGAGGTATGCTGTACCCAAACTGGACTCTGAATGTCATGCATTGAATTAAATCTGCTCCCCTTGCCAGTCACCCCAACCCAGAGGATGGTTAATTTAATAGCAATATAGGAAACAGGTTCTATGCTGGGTAACCTATGAAACAAAAGCAGTGACTATATATACCATGAGAGATGTGAAGGTGAAGCAGGTCAGTTATCTTATACTTAAGAAAAGACTGTGATACGTTACAAGAAAACCATGCCTGAGTTACTAGAGCAAATATAATTAAATTAAAATTATGACTCGTTAATTCAGTGGTTCTCAACCTTCCTAATGCTACGACCCTTTAATACAGTTCCTCATGTTGTGGTGACCCCCAATTTCATTGTTACAAATTGAACATAATTAAAGCATAGTGATTAATCACAAAAACAATATGTAATTATATATGTGTTTTCCGATGTGAAAGGGTCGTTTGACCCCCAAAGGGTGGCGACCCACAGGTTGAGAACCGCTGTGTTAATTGGAGGTGATCAGCTTAGGAAGGGATATCCTGTTTCAAGTGTCAATGGCATAGAGTTCAGGTGGATCTTATCAGAGAGCATTGGCATCTGTAGCCCCAGAAATCCCAGAACATCTGGACATGGAGAAAGGAGATACATTCATCGCCTCGTTCAATAGAAAGACTACAGGACTGGATGGAGGAAGGAAGAGAGAGAAGACATAACTCCCTCTAATGATTCTAATGACCATATAAACACAAACAGGTATCACCTATGCGTTGTAATTAGAGGGTTAACTTTAGGTTATTATACATGTTAGGAACTTACTTTGTCATTTAAATATTTTCCATATAAAAGAAATACACTTTAGTATATTAACTGTGGAGTAAAATAAGACAAGTTCAAGCTAACCATTCTTCAAAGGGCTTCTAAAGACAAGGAATGATTCTCCTTGGGGATAGTTGCTCTTAACTGGCCATATTGGTTAGAACTTCCATAAATCAACAATTTCTAGAACTCTCTTTATTTCATTAGCTCCCCTATCAGTCTCATTTTACCTTTGTTCATGTTTCAGAAAAGTCTACATGTCATCAATTTTAAAATCAAAGAATAAGATAACAATAAGAAACCAATAAGATGGTGAAACTCAAATTTCCCTATATGGACATAGGTATAATTAAAATGTTAATTGAAATACATAGTGTCATGTATAATTAAAACATGTGAACCTCACTTACTAGTATAAGTCCTCAGTGGGTACATTTTAAAAGACCAAAAGGGTAGAAAAAAATCTAACCACTCACTAGTCTTCAGATCTTAACATTGTCCCAGGTTTAAACAAATAAGCAAACAAAAAAGGGGCAGAGAGAGAGAGAGAGAGAGAGAGAGAGAGAGAGACTACTAGAGAGACTACTACTATTTGCATCGTCTAAATCTATTTCTCAATGTGCTCAGAATTATTTTTTCTTTTTCATTAATTACCCCAAAGTGAGGTTGCATATAAAAGGCAAATGTGACAACATTACGGCTGACATTTTAGAAAAAACATTTGATAGTGGGTGTTATGTTACCCCGTTTTACTTTATTGGGTATAAAATAAATGGTCTACAAGAATCCAAAGTATTTCCAAATTATTTTACCTTTTGTGGTTTGAAAATGGATAGCATCACAGTTCCTGGGCTGAGCTACAAGAAAAAAGGTTTTATTTTATTGAAACTCTTGTTACTGAAGCTACCATAGCTATCTTGAGCTTGACACTTTTGTGATCATTCCTAGACATCATTTTGGGTTTTTTTTCTAAAGAACTAATTTCTCCTATCAGATAGAAGTCTAGAACTTAGCATTCTTTGAGCCCATAAAATCCAGCTTCAGGCTAAAAGTCTCACCCCTTAGAGAGAAAGGGGCAGCTGTTCTTACTGACTTCCCTGAAGGGGCCTGGTAGAGCTATGGCTCAAAATTAAATTTTACAACAGTGTCTTCTTATACCAAAGTTTTCAAGTGTTTTAACTTTTTAAGTCCATTTCATTCAAATTATATCTCAGATTTTTCATATTCATTTAATATTTCCCCCTAATCCTTCAGATAGTGAACGGTCACAGCCACTCGGCATTCCTCTGTGAAAGGGAGCAGGAGTAGGAGGACACTCGAAGGGAAGTGGGCCTCCCACTGTGGACATGAAGAAATAATGATAGGTGGTGGCCTTGAGCACTTACTGAATGCGTGATGGTGGGGTGAAGTTTTACGTGTATTTACTCACTGAATTTTCACAACAACCCCACAGTAACTGGTGCTGTTATTATCTCAATTTTGTAGAGGAGGAAACTGGAACAGAAGGGTTTCATGGCTGGTAAGTGGCAGGGCTGGGATTTAGAGCCAAGCTTACACTGTATTCTACTGCCTCTCTGGTTGGCTGTTCAGTAATAGTGCACTAGAGGGAAGTCCCCACCCTCAATTCCAAGGGGAAGTTTCTTTTTGGTTCCTATATGGGAACGATAAAGCCTCCCAGGAACTGATGGCATGGATTAATGAAATGTTTCACCGCGCAACCCATGGTAGTTGGGAAGGCAATTTTGCTGAGTCACCTTGTCTGAAGGCTCCTTTGTGAACTCATTTCTTTTATGGTGGCTGAGCAATACAAATGGCATCTAAGGGAAAGTTTAGACTTTAGCAGTGGTTCTCAACCTTCTGGCCCTTTAAATACAGTTCCTCATGTTGTGACCCAACCATAAAATTATTCTTGTTGCTACTTCATAACTAATGTTGCTACTGTTATGAATCGTCATGTAAATATCTGATATGCAGGATGGTCTTAGGCGACCCCTGTGAAAGGGTCGTTCGACCGCCAAAGGGGTCGCGACCCACAGGTTGAGAACCGCTGCTTTAGAGGAAGCTGTTTCTGGCAAGCCATCGCTACTACCTTGCTAAGGTTAAACATGAACACAGGTTTTGAGGACATGCCTTTTAGGCCCCCCAAACCATGAACAGATTACATGCAAGTATTGTGTGGACTTGTCTCCACCCCTGCCAAACCTCTGGGCACACTTTCTCCATGATTTATAGGGGAGTCTGTTAAGGTCACACTGTCTTTGCCCATGACCTTGGTACATACTCAGAGCTCTTCCATTCAATACCAGTTAATAAAGTTAAATGTGTCTTAGGTGAGTAGAGGCAGTTAGGGGATTAACAGCTGTTGGTATATGTGCTAAAAAGGCTAGGTGGAGTGTTAAGTGACGGTTTCATCTGGTTCAGAATGAACACACTGGTGTTTCACTTCACCACCCAGACTAGTGAATCTTGGGACACTTTGTATACTTAGACAATTGTGGAGTAATATTTTTCTGGGAGGGCGTAGGTATCTGAAATCTATTCTGAGCCAAGCAGCAGAGACCTTTTAGGAAAAGAATCTTAAAATTTCCTTCCCATGACCTGGGAAAAGCTGACAATACCAACTTAGAATTAAGGAAAAACTAAACAAACAAACAAACAACCCTCCCAAATACCCCCCAAAAACTAACCACACACAAAAACTAATAAAAACAGAAAACAAAGCTTAATCTATTGTTTTTTATAAAAGAAAAGTCTGAGAGACCAAACACCACTCTCAATAGTATAGAGGGAGGATAAGATAATTTTCTAATCAAAATGCAACCAGAGAACGTGTCGTTAAAATTTTGGGATGCTTGAACAAAGCAGGTACCAGCAATCTCCACTTAGATCTCAATTGCTTGGGGGTGATGTGAAATCAGAAAGATCAGATTAGTTAAATCCTTAGTTAATAATAGAATAAGTTTAAGCAGTGCATTCTTGCCAAATAGTAACTGACCTAAATGGAAACATGTAAAAACCAACAACAGAACTATCTTCTTTCATATCAAGAAAAAAAAAGGCATCTGAGATGAAATACCAAAACCAAAGGGGTGTTAAAATTTTGATTCAAGAAGTAAGAAAAAAAAAGAAAAGAAAAAAGTAAGTAGAAATTTTAGCTGTCAGTTTGAGTCATAACTTTAAATGTATATTTTCAGTAATTTGGAAAATATTTTAACTTTCTACTATAATCCACAGAAGACAATTGGAACCATTAAAAACACTGACTTACACATATTGTTAGTTTCACAATGGTCAGGTTCCTTAAAATGCTACTTAAATTTTGGTCATTTATACATGCAATTTCTTTTTCTTTTAAATATATTTTATTGATTTTTTACAGAGAGGAAGGGAGAGGAATAGAGAGTTAGAAACATCGATGAGAGAGAAACATAGACCAGCTGCCTCCTGCACACCCCCTGCTGGGGATGTGCCCGCAACCAAGGTACATGCCCTTGACCGGAATCGAACCTGGGACCCTTCAGTCCACAGGCCAACGCTCTATCCACTAAACCAAATGGGTTACGGCGGGGGTGCAGTTTCTTGAGATATTTTTTTTACTGATAAGGTATGAAAGTGCAGTTTATTAGATGACCGCAAATATACTAAAAAATAAAGTCTAACGCTACACCGATACAGATGTATAGATGTTAACAGATATCAAAGAGGCCAGTGGACATCTTCGCAACAGCCAGCCAAGTTCCAGGGCATCCTGAGCTTTGGCTTTTTCCTTCCGTCGCAAGCATCTGACAGATAGAAATGATTCAGATTCTAAAGAGGAATGGCTCTCACTGAATTAAACTTTAAGGAGCACAAAACAAAACATATACATGAACTCTGCAGAGGGACACCAATCAGAAGTAAATTACATTAAGATGAAGTTTTAAAAAGAAAAGGAAAAGGGAATAACCCAGCCTCCTCTGCAATGGCCTATTATATCACCTTCATACATGACTGTTCTGCATACTTTTGTGTCCCGGGTGAATTTCTGCGGTGTGTTGTGCATTTGGGCCTTTAGAGTGCTCGGCCCTCTCTGCTGGATGCACAGAATAATGGGCTGTCCACACAGCTGGGTCCATGCTTCTCTCTGGTGCAGCCTGAACAGCCGGGTGACGGTGCTTTAGGAATGAGGTCTGTGAGGCCTAGCCCATAAACCTGAAGCTCCCAGACCAGATGAAGGGCCTGTTCACTCCAACACAATGGCTACCATCCGACCGTGTGGCCTGGTTGCCACGGTGGGCAGAAGGACAAGACTCAGTGATAGTGAACGGGGGAGGAGAGGCTCTGCCAGCTGCTGGAAGCTCTTCAGCATCTGGAGGCTCTTATCCTCCACCTGTCCCTCCTCTGCTGCCCCATCAGCAAGGCTAACTGGGTTGGCTCGATTTTTTTCTCTCCCACCAAAAGCCCTTACATTGTCCTTTTGTGACATATTTTCTCCTTTGAGCTGCTTGTGACATAACCTTTGAACGATTTTACCTCCTTGAAAGAATTGGGTACAGAGAGATGCTGATGGAGGGGCTCTAACCACTACTCAGGCGGCTGTATTTCACAGGCTACTGCATCGGTGTTAAAGAAAAAATTATTTTTATTTATTTATTTATTTATTTAAAATATATTTTTATTGATTTCAGAGAGGAAGAGGAAGAGAGAAACATCAATGATGAGAGAGAGGATTATTGATTGGCTGCCCCCTACATGCCCCCTACTGGGGATGAAGCCTGCAACCTGGGCATGTGCCCTTGTCCGGAATTGAACGGGGGACCCTTCAGTCCGCAGGCCGACTCTCTATCCACTGACCCAAACCGGCTAGGGCATATTTATTTATTTTGAAATATGTTTTTATTTAATTTTAGAGAGAGAAGAAGAGAGAGGGAAACATCTGTCTCCTGCACACCCCCACTGGAGATCTAGCCGGCAATCCAGACATGTGTCCTGACCAGGAATCGAACTGGTGACCTCTCAGTGCATGGGACAATGCTCAACCAATGAAGCCACATCAGCCAGGGAAAAGAAGAATATTTAAACAGCAAGAAAGAGTTGCTGCAACAAAAAACTAAATTTCTAAGTTTCAGAGAGGAATCTAGTGGTTCCTGGAAGAAGCCGCTTAGTAAGGCACTAGCTTTACAGTGCAAACGGGAAGTAGCAGGTGTGGATTCCGGAGTCAGGCTCCCTGGCTTTGAATCCGGGGCCTGGCACTCACTAGCTGTGTGAGTCTAGGCAAGTAACTCAGTCTTCCTGTGCCTCAGTTTCCTCAGCTGCCTCGTGGCGTGGTGAGAATAAAATGAGTTAACCCATGGAAAGCACTTAGAAGAGTGATTTGGTGAGCAGTCTACAAATGCTAGGCATTCTTGTCACTGTGGCAAAGCATTTTTGTTTGCAATCTGTACTCTGCTTCAATGTGAACGAGGGCATTGTTCCATAGCAATACATGGTGAACAACAGAATGAGAAAACTGGAAATAAAAGAGGGTGAAGATCCATTCAGAAGCTACACTTCACTGCGTGACGGGGCCATCAGCACGTGGCCCCACACCTTGCAGAGTTACATGGTTCTGTCTGTCTGCTAAAGGAAGCACGTAGATTTTTCTTAGGAAACAAAAATTTTAAAGTATGTGTCTGTTAAGCCATTTAATTATGTGGATGCTTAAGTTGGGAGAAGCAAAGAGCAAATCAATTTCTTACGGAAACATCAGAAAGTGACTAATCATGCAGAGAACAGACCCAGGACTGCCCGGGGGTGGGGATGTGGAGGGAGGGGTGTGGCTGACTAAAGGGGTAGCCTGAGGGAGCTCTCTGTGGTGATGCAATAGTTCCGCACCTCGATTGCACGGATGGCTACCCACCTGACAAAATGGCAGAGGACTAGACACACACAATGTGCCAATGTCTACTTCCTGGTTTTGACATTATTTGCTAGTTATGCAAGATGTAACCATTGATAGAAACTGGATTAAAGGTACACCGGGCCTCTCCTTACTATTGCAACTCCCTGTAAATATATAATTATTTCCATATAAAAAGTAAAAAAAAAATCCTCTCAGAAATATTTTTCAAATGGATATTACTTATGCTGCCATTAAAATATCATTGCATGATTGGTTTGAGTTTTTATTTTGATTTGAAAGAGTTAATTTCCTTAAGATAATTTTAAGCATTTTTCCTTTCCCTCAGCCACCCCCAAATCTCAGAGATCCTGCCATAGCCTTTAATCACATAAATAAAAACGTTAACATTTATTTCAAATTTTTATTTTCTTTCTCCATCCAGGCCCAATTTTTCTGACCAGTACTGGCAAGCTGCTGATCTTCAATTTCCCACTAATCCATGTCCAATCATTTGCTCACTATCTACCCATGTGGAAGCAGTCATTGCAATTCTGAACTCTCTTGATTATTGTCAATATTTCTGGGTTACTTTAAAAAAATATATTTTGTATTTCTTTATTGATTTTAGAGAGGAAGGGAGAAGGAGAGATAAAAACACCAATGATGAGAGAGAATCACCGATGGGCTGCCTTCTGCACACCCCCCACTGGGGATCGAGCCCATAACCCAGGCATGTGCCCTTGGCCGGAATCGAACCTGGGACCCTTCAGTCCGCAGACTGACGCTCTATCCACTGAGCCAAGCTGGCCAGGGCCTGGGTTACTTTTTTACTTTTTGCATTAAGATAACATTTATGTACTGTGATTCTCTCTCTCTCTCTCTCTCTCTCTCTCTCTCTCTCTCTCTCTCTCCCCCCACCCACCCCCCGCTGTTCTCTGATGCTGAGCCTCTGAAATCCCTAAGATTCTCAAACTGACAAGCCCTGAGTTTGTTCTGAGAGGTAGGTTACACAGCTACCAGGTACGTGTCCATTACACAGTAAGACAGGAGCCATTCCGGGTTTTGTAACGTTAACCACAGGCGTGTGTGTTTACCTTCCCACCTCTCAGGTGATTTATAAACCTGGCAGCTGCATTTTGTTTGCCTTGACCCTGCTTTAAGCACCTGTCTCCACTCGGCTGGTTCTATGACTGGGGGGACCCAGGCACCCACCTTTCATCTGCACGAAGTCGAGCTGGTGAATGGACTGCAGCAGAGGGCTGTTGTCCAGACTCAAGTCGAAGTCTGTGGTCATCCTGGGAGTGAGCGTGCCTTTCCCCCACTGGTCCTCAGTCAGGTGCACTCTCCTTATGAGGGCGTCAGAAATCTAGTCACATCAAAGACCACAGCCTAAGAAATACACCACCACAGTGGCCACAGGACACTGCCCTCAACTCTGCCCGAGTGTCACCAGCAACCTTCCTTGGGACTCACACCTTCCTGACTCTGTGCAGGTGGTGAGGAGCCGGTAAGGGTGAGGGTGACCCATGATTTAGCAGGCAAATCTGGATACTTCTGTGAGTCAGAGGGGGTGATATAAAAATCAGCAGCTGTTAATTGGTCTAATAGACAAACCTGGATGGATGATCATGCTGTTTAGGACTGATCAGCTTAAAGCCAGCAACATTAAATAATGCTATGTTGGTGACTAATGACTCCTACTAGAACCAATAACCCTGATTCTCACCTGAGGTGTGGGTATCCTGTCATACTTGGAAATGAGTTTTACAAGTAGTTTAGAGAGGCTGCCTATGATAATCTGTAGAATGGGATTTGTTATACTTTAAGGCATCATCCTCTTCATGTATCGCTCTGTTCTTTGGCAGAGAGCGCTTTCATTTCTTATATTTAGTCTCTATCATTCTTGGCCAGTTTGGCAGAAAGTGACTCGCAAGTGATCTACATGGTCCTTAATGAAAGGTCCCTTAATCATTGGGATTGAAAGTTAAATAAAATTCAACTGACATCATAGCATCTCACTAACACAACTAATACTGAAGAAATCACGAGACATCCAAGGAATTGAAAAACTTCACTCTTTTGGGGGGAAATCATGGACATATTGACAGTAGGAGGTGCCAAGAAGATAGAAACCTTTCATACTTAGGACTGGTCGGAATCTGGCCTTGGTAGAGTCAAACTCATGGGGCACTGAGAATCTGAAGCAGAAACTAATTGATACTTACCTGCAAAAAGCCACTAGGATCATTTTCCTTTATCACCTCCAGGCAGTACTCCATGAGACCCGTGGTCTGGCGCAATTTCACTGTGCAGTGAGAGATCTGATCTCGAACCACCTAGGATCAATGACAGAACAGAATGGTCCAAAAATGGCAGAGAGTAGAAAAGAAGCAAACCGGGACTCTGGAAAGCTTCTTCAAACCAGAATCCAAGAGCATCATGGAGCAAAACTGAATTTATGAGACTGTTTTGTGGCAATGTCTGCTGTGGACAACGACCCCAGAGGACAGCTTGGATAATGGCTCTTACAGAAACTTGTAACAACAGGACCCACCAGAAAGTCTTGCAGATTGAAATCATGAGAGCCTGGCTACCTTGGTACCTCCAAGGACATCTTCCACAGGCCCCCTTACTCTCCTCTTGGGAAGCGGAGACCCTGAGCTGCTGGAAGTCGGGGGTCACGGAGAGTTCGTGAAGGAGCTGAGCCACTTGAGGTTCGGCGGCAGCTCCCGCGCTGGAACACAGTAGCCCACCTTCTCCCACCGCTGCTTGTCCCTTCTAAACAGCAGACATCACCATCTGAACCCAGTTCCTTTCTCAATCTGACTCTTCAGGTGGGTGGTGGAGTGGGGGGTGGAGGTGGGACTTGTTGGAAAACAATGAGCTAATGACCAGCAAGCCAGAGAGAGATGGCTGCAGAATTAAGTTTTAGAATAACCGGCTTAGAATCAGCTCATTTTGGAAAGCAGTTTTAAAGGCTGTCCTATTTGCCAAGCTGTGAGTCAGCTTTAACCTAGAAAGGCAGTTTCTGCCTCTGGGAAGTTGTCTCTGCCCAGTGTCAAACGCAGGACAGCCCCTGTTCATCCTGTGTGTCCTTTGCTCAGTGACCCAAACCCTGAGATGGTTTCTGAAGCACAGAGTTGAACAAGATTTCCCTGGGAATCGCAATCACTCACATGCGGATATTCATGCTACTTTGCAAAAGCCTCAGAAACATCCAGCAGCCCAGATTTCACAGATAATAACTAAAGGAGTTTAAATAATTATTTGATGTCTTTTCCTTGTTCCCTCTTTCCATTTATTATAAATTTATTTTCCTTTGAAGATTATTACATATACTTTCCAAAACAACTGAAAGGGAGATGGGGAAAAATCAAATCATCTCACTTCTCTTTATTTTTTCTTTTTAATAAATACTTTTTCTCATAGCATGCTCATCATAGCATCTGGAGGGATACCACTAATGAATTTTTAGTCTAAGTAAATATTAACATTCTATTTCTCCTGGTTCAAGAAATTCTTTTAAAGTATAATGTATACTATCCCATCACAGTTTAAAACCAATTCCCCTAATTATGAGGTAATCCATTTTTTTTTTTCTATTTGAGATACAAGTACTTTAAAGATGCATGCTTGAATGTATTCTTCACAGGTCATTTTGGTCAATGGGGGAGTTTCTATGTGTACCATCATGTCTTAAAGCAGTGGTTCTCAACCTTGGCAGCACATGAGAATCACCTGGGAATCTTTTTAAAATCCTGATTTCTGGGCATCATCCTCCGGAAATTCTGTTTCTTTGTTACTAATGTTGTGGCCTCACCCCATAATAAAGAAACAGAATTTCCAGAGGATGAGGCCCAGAAATCAGGATTTTAAAGAGATTCCCAGGTGATTCTTAATGTGCAGCCAATGTTGAGAGCCACTGTCTTAAAGCAAGATAACCAATTAATGCTTGGAACTGACTCATTTGTGAGTTACAGGTGAAGCACCTTGGCCATTAGATTCATTGAATACAATAAAGAATTCTCCTGTTATTTTCGTAGAGTTGAATGTTATCTCCCATATTATCATTACATTCACTGAAACTTTTTTTTTTTGAGAAAGAACATCTGTATTTTGTCACATGCCACCAAACAGACCTTCTGCGACTTTTGCTCCTACATGGTGGGAGCAGAGGACCACAGAATTCGCCAAATGAAACTGAAAGGAACTGCCCATAATAACAGGCTTGCAATCAATAATAATTGTGGCTTAATTATTAGAGTTGGGCCCCTAAAGAGTTCTGATGAGAGCAGCTGAAGGTTTGAAGTTGTTTACAGTGTGCCTAATTTTCCCAAATGTCTTCATTCTAATAGATTAACTGAACTCTTAGCCAGTAGTAGTTTTATTGGGATTGAGCTGATTATTGGCTTAAATTTGTTGCCTTTTCTTTCTAGTAATAGCTGTAGCCAGTCAAATGCTATATAATTATTTTAAAATTCTTTGTGAACTTGAGCAGATATTCTTCTTTCTTCCTTCCCTCCCTCCCCAATCTCTCTCTCTTTCTCTCTCTCTCTCTCTCTCTCCTATTATGAATCAATGGTAAAATAGCTGAAGTAAGCAGTATGACAAGCCAATAATATCCCTAGTGTAAATTTGTACTCAGTGATATGGCCATATAAGTAGTTTTTAACAAACATAATGGGACCATAACAGGCAATACATAGTAAATAATAACAAAGATAATGACGACAATAATAATAATGATTCTCACAAAATCCAACAGTACATTAAGATTCAAAATCAAGCATTCTATAGATAATTACAATTGGGATATGGAGACCTTCTATAAATATGAAAAGCTACATAAAACAGTTAGCTTTGTCAATATACTCGACATTCTCACTGAGTAATTTTGTTAGTATGTTTTACCAACCACATATGGAAATTAAAGAATATACTTTCCCGAATATTTTTGAATAACCATAACTTTCTTTTTCCAGAGGGTCTTGGAGTTGAAAGGTAATTAAGACACCTATCACACACTATTCAACATAGGAATTCATTAAAAAATATTGGAGATAGAGAGGGGATATTGGGGGGATAAGGACACATTTGTAATATCTTATTCAATAAAGGGAAAAATACACTTAAGATAATTATTTCAAATTCTGAACATTACATAAATAACAATAATTATCTGATATTCCTTTGGGTTTAGCAAATGAAAAATAGCATTTGTAAAGTTCCTGAGAAAAGCATAGATCTCATTAATGAGACAACTTACTGTAACTTGTTACAAATTCCCTGTGAGGATCTCACAGAGAGGACAATACTCAGGGCCTTGCTCAGCGAGGGCAGACCTGGGAAGGATGTTAACAAACATGCAGACAGGACAGGAACCTGGGATCCAGTCTATCTGTTCGTCAGGAGGATATTGCCTAGGAGTTCCAAATATGACCTGGTAATATTTCTTGAAAGCTCAAAAGCTTTTCTACTCTCCAGTAGCTTTCAGACATTTGCTTTAGTTCACCACATCCTGAAAATAGATATTTGGCTCCCAGTGCTTTTTTCAAATCACAAAATAGTATCAACTGTGATTTACATTTCAAATAGTTTTCCTAAAATATGGCCACATCTGCATATGTCTCAAAGCCTTTTTTAAAAAAAGTTTTTAAAAATAGTTCACCCAACTTTGTGAACTATTTTATAGGATGATCAATTATAAACTCAGGCCACTAAAGAATGTCTGAGGTTCAGAACAGTGACACCGATGCATAGGCTAATTCTACACTATAAACTACTAGAGGCCCGGTGCACAAACTCATGCATCAGTGGGTTTTTTTGGCCTGTCCGGTGATTGTGGCTGATCGGGGCAGGCTGCAGGAGGTTGGCTGTGGGAGCACACTGCCCACCAGGGGGCAGCTCCTGCGTTGAGTGTCTGCCCCCTGGTGATCAGTATGTGTCATAGCGACTGGTCAACTGGTCATTCAGTCGACCGGTTGTAACCGTCGCTTAGGCTTTTATATATAGATGGTTTATGAAGAGTAAGCCTCTAGGAGCCCTTCTTCAGTGTGCTGAGGGAAACCAGATTTTCAGTCATTCTCTCTCCTTAATAACATCAATAATAACAGCAAATATTTTTTGGGTACTGTGTTCAGCGTTTTTCAATGTCAGATGAAGTGATGACTACTTCAGCCTTATTTTACAGGTAAAAGAAATGGAGACTTAACACTTGCCCACAGTTAGAGACCCAGTAAATGATAAAGGGTGTCCTCAAACCCCATTCACTCTGACACAGAGACTGACTGGGCTCTTCACCACTCAGCTCCGTCTTGCCTCTGAAGCAGAACTGCTCAATGTGCTCAAGCCATCAGCGCTCTCAGAGAGGGCCTGAGCAGACTGTAAAGGCTGTCTTTATACACGCTCGCTTTCCAGCACCCCCAGCCTTTTGGATTGCTCAGGAAGAGAAAGTTGCCAGAACACACACACACACACACACACACACACACACACACACAACTCTCCTCTTTGTCAGCAAAAAGCTTCCCCAGAGAACTTGGCCAAAGGAAGCGGAAGACCATAAGATGATCCCTGCCAGACTGTGAGGGATGGGTTAGCCAACAAAGACAGAAAGAACTGTGCTTGGCAAGTGATGTCCCTAAAAGGCCAGTCCTTTCTCACAAATCTGAGTAGCAACAGAAGTGACAAGAAAGGGAAAAGGCAGGAGGAGAACAGCAGCAAGGGAGACAGGGAGGCTGGCATCGGCAGTCACGGTGTCGGCACTGCTGGCTGTTTTTAGAAGCAGTGACAGATACAATCAGCTGAAACAGCAGAGAAACAAATCACTCCAGACAGAAGACAGAACAGCTTTGCTGTCGTGGGGGACACCCAGCCACCTGTCTCCGGTTTCCATAGCCCTTTGGGATCTGGGGCAGGGAACTCTGCCCTGGGCAGAGTGAAATGAGGGCAGGCCCCTCTGCTCAGCAGCCCCCAAGAGCTTTAGTGTACTCTGTGGGGCAGAGCCCCAGTGATGCGTTAATACTGCTCCTGTGTGGTCTCCATCTGCGTCCACAGCACAGCCTGTAACGCGTTTTCATACAGTACCATCTGCAGAGGCAGCACTAAGGAGGGGCCTGGGGAGCTTCATGCCCCTCTGCCACCTTTTGATATAAATAAGTGATGCTTTCTTAATCGCTGATTTCCTCTTCCATCCAGATTCCTGCCCTTAACATCGTCCCAAATAGGAAACTTGAAGTTGCCACGATAGTCACCATCCATATAATTTATCACAAACTGTTCGCTGTGTTCAGTTTTATAATGCCAGGAAAGTGTCTACAATATTTTAGAAAAGACATTTCCATTGAGAAAACATTACAATGTTATGGCTAGATACTAAAACCGTTGGCCCATTATTTAGGGAAAACCCCAGCTGTACGGCTCATTTCCTAAAGACAACTGTGTTTTTATTTTAGATCACTCTATGTGATTGATTCAAAAGGTATCTTGAGTTCTGCTATAGCAACCAGAGTTCTGGCTTTCTGAAGCTGCTAAAATGAAGGGCTAGAGTGGCGATCGGTTAATAATGGCAGAGCAGCGACAGAATCAGAACACGTGGATCAGTCCTCATGACTACCCGGATGGAGCAAGGCCGGGGTGCAGTGTGCTAACCACCGTCTGCCTCCCTCCACACTCTGCCGAATCCCACAGGCGAGAACGTAAGCTGCCACGAGCACACACCTCCCAAAGTTTGGGCAACGCCAGGGCCAGCTCTCCCGTGATTCCCTCTGTGACCCTTTCAGCTGCAAGTAATTGTACCCTCCTCCTAACTTCCATGCTCTGGCCACCTCCCCTCTGAAAGCTCACTCTCTACCTGTGTTGAAGTCCTCTGTGGGTGTGATTTATCTCATCCCCTGAAATGTAAGCTCTGTAAGGGCACGTCTCATCCTGAGCCCCCTCTTCTCTCCTCCCCTGCTCCCTCCCTCCCCCCAGCACTCAGCTCCTAGCAGGTGTGCATTAGGTGCTGGCGGACTGATGAGATGGTGGGGACGGGGACAGGCCTTCTCTGTGCATTGTGCAGACGGTGGTTAGCACACTGCACCCCGGCCTTGCTCCATCTGGGTAGTCATGAGGACTGATCCACGTGTTCTGATTCTGTCGCTGCTCTGCCATTATTAACCGATCGCCACTCTAGCCCTTCATTTTAGCAGCTTCAGAAAGCCAGAACTCTGGTTGCTATAGCAGAACTCAAGATACCTTTTGAATCAATCACATAGAGTGATCTAAAATAACAATGTGCTTCTACAGATTCTGGGCTCTGAAGCCAGGTTACCAGCCCTGGAATCCTGGATCCATGGACCAGTTCCTAATATCATGGTGCCATGGCTTCTCACCTCTAGAATGGGGATAAGAGTAAGAATGACCTTGTGGAGGTGTTGGGAGGAATTGAGGAGTTGATCCCTGCAGCACGGTTTGCACATTGCTGCCTCAGAGCAGGTGTCCCCGAGTGTGAGCGATTGCTATTCGGAAAGCTGGGGCTTGGTTGCCAAGAATGCTCATTCTTGTGTTGCTCCCTGGGCAGCTATAGAATCACATTTCAGAGCATGTCTGGATTTTAATTCAGTTTTTAAAAAAATGGCGACTCTTGAAGAATGTTTCACTCAGACCTAATGCGACTATCTAGGAGGAAAATGTTTATGGAGTAGAAATATTTCCCAGGTTGTTGCAGCTAAATCGATAAGATTGATCTCCACCTGATAAAACTTTCAGGGAATTTTTTTGGGTAAAAAACAGTAGTTTTAATACTGCTCCCACTTTCTTCCCCACGTATTAGGAATCACTACAAGTATGTTGCCATGAGACACAGCCCAGTGGTCCTTCAGGGAATTCAAACGCAAATAACTTGATCCCAGACTTTAGGAGATTGGAGTCTGGGAACTGATGAGCTAGAGATAGCCATGTGGGTAAAACTAGCCATTATTCCACACTTTGCGAATTAAGCACCACCCAGGTGCCTCCTTTGCAAGCCCAGGGCCTCCTGATTACCTTCAGCTCTAGGGCACAGGCTCCACCAGGCGGGGCGAGTTGGTTGTAAGATGAACCTGGGAGGGTCTTCCAGTTAGACTCAGCACCAGGAACCAGTATTGGTCTCTCTGGAAGGAGTGTTATAATCCCCAGCCTGGGACACTTTCCTTTCCGCACTCCTGGCTCAGATTCAACTTCAGGATGTGCAGTTTTCTCTATCAAGGACTCTGCCATGCCTCTCCTTGATCAAATTGTGCTTTCGCCGTCTCACCAGGAACGCTCAAAGACATGGTTCTGACCCAGCGCCAGAGGAGGTCTCACTGGCCGCCTTCATCATGGGCATAGCTCTCGTCAGGCTTTTCTGGGCTGGGCCCCTGGGTCACAGCTCAGCCTTCTGTCCGCCTCCATTCCACAGGCCCCTTCAGTGACAGCTGGGCAAGTCACAGAGGCAGGGGAGAAAGGGTTATATTCCAGCCCCATGATGGCCCTGGCTTTGGGGAAGGAAGAAGCAGGTATGTGGCTCGTCATGTGTTTTGAGGAGCAACAGGTGGGCATTGGAGGAGGGTGCCTTAGAGGAGGCGGCTGGAGTGGGGGTTTTCTTCACCTCTGGGGAGAAGCGGGCATCTTCCAGGGGAAATGGTGCTCTTTATGGTGCTGCCCAGCTCCCTGTGAGTTTGAGCTCCAGGTCCTGGTGTGGGGGTGGGGCGCATAGGAAGGACTGGTGACTGCTGTTCAGGGCTCAGCATGGCAGTCTTGCTGCAGGCTTGCCCAGGCCTCCATGCCCCTGTTAGCACCTGGTTCCCTGCCTTGTTTCTCATAACCACGAACTGGGTACTGGCCTGGCTTGAAGCTTCCCTGCCACCAAGCTGTAGTCTAAAATCTTGTCAGTTGTGTTCTCTTATTTCTTCATTTTCAAACTTTTCCTTGGGTCTCCTATTGGATCCGTCTGTTAGACGTAGGGCAGTTCTCTTATCTTCTAGGGACTAGAGCTTATCCCAAACTTGCATGGATACCTGATACTAACTGCAATGGTCACCAGCTCTCAGCTCCCCCGCGGTTGTGCCCAGTCACCGCTGCCCACTATGGAAGCTCCCTGATGCCGACCTCCCAACCCCAACAGAGAGCTTATTTATGGTCACACCTCATTTCTCCCCTCCCCCAACTCCAGGCTAACACTGCACACTGCACACCCACCATCCGCTGGTTGCCACCCACAGGCTTGCTGGCCATGTATGTGGACCTGTGGTGACTTCCTCCTTCTGAGCTCCCCTCAGCTGGGCTCTTCCCATCTACCCAGCCTGCTCTCAGCTGCTGCTGTCCTGCTCCAATGGGGCCGTGAAGGGGTATCACCTGCTCCAGGACAGTCCTTCTGACAATAGGGACCCAGACTTGTAACTGATTGATTCTACCTTGTGATGACAAGTGTGCACAGCTGTCCAAATGCATGATTCACTTCAAAGTTAAGACAAGTCTTGTTTGCTTTCTGGGAAGTACTGACTCCATTTCCCGATTCAAACGCACTTTACGTCTCTGCATGGCCACTCTGATCACGCTGCCTAAAATTTCAACCACCATCCCCAGTATTCCCCAGCCCTGTTTCCTTACTGTTTTCTTAGCACTTTTCACTAATATACTGGATCTTCCTTACTTATCTTGCTTATTATTTATCCTTCCTGGTAAATATAAGCCCCATGAGGGCAGGGATATTTATTTATTTTATTATACCTGTACCCAAAGCAATTTCTGACCCAGATGAGTGAAATGAAGAAGCGAGTGGTGAATAAAGAGCTATGCCCACCCCTTGCCAGCCAGGCCACTGACCACCCAAGGCTGTGGGCATCCTGCTTCCCCATCTAGCCTGTTGTCACAGCCCTCGGAGCCCAGCTCTGTGACTTTCTGGTCCCCCCATGGCCCAGCACTCACCTTCAGCTTGTGCTCATGCTCCTTGTTGACGCGTGCAAGCAGCTGGGCTTTCCTCCTGTTGAGGGCGTCGATGAGGGCATCACACTGGGCCACCAGGCAGGCCTCAAACTCCACACTGTTCTCCTGTGTGAGAGAGCACACCTCTCAGCCAGAAGCCGCCGGAGAAAACAGAACTCGGCCGTCCACTGTGGGGTAGAGATCCCCACTGAAGGGAAGGAAGGAGAGCTCTATCCACAATGCACGTTTGCCATCTCAAAAGTAACTGTATAAATTTCATTCTATAGTGGTTGTGTTTTGCTCTAAATTTAGATCAAAAAGGAAGACTATCACTTGATCAACTTATTTTTAGCAAAAGGGAATCATCTCCAAAGTCTGAATTGTATTAAATAAACAAATCAAGGTTTGTTTGCAGAGTTGCACATGAATCCTTTTGAAGGCTGGCATATGTTCAGCTGTGTTTGGTGGAAGGTGACATTCAGAAAGGCTGGTTGCCTGAGGGGGTGGGTACTGTTAAGGCACAAGAGATGAAAGAGTCACTGAATTCAGGGAAAGAAATAAGAAAGAGAATGGCAATGGTCTTCAATATTAAACCATAGTTAGATGACACCGGAAGTTTGTAAAAATAATCATGGATTAAAGTGCTCCTTTCATTAAGGAAAGCCAAGTGAACATAAATGGGTAAGTTGTTAAAGTCAGACATGAACCAACAGCTTGTGGGGGAAGGTGACCACATTCTAAATGAATGATAGCTTCCCCATGGTGCTTAAATTGAATGCTGGATCTATATTTTTAAATTCATTACACATTCATTTTAAGCGACTTTTTCACTAAATTATAAGCAATGTTAAGTTTTGGTTTGCATGGCACTTGCTTTGAGTTCTCAGAGAAGCCCCGGAAAACATCAGGTAAGAGCGTTCTCTGTCCACGCAGGGCAATATTCAGAGGGAGAGGGGAGCTTTCTCCTCATAGGCTCTGATTTGGACCAGAGGGAAAGCTTTGTCTGAGGAAGAGGTGGGAATCAGAGGCGAGCCTGGGGCTGCATATTTTATGCCAGAAAAAGCAAAGAAGAGGCTCTATTGCTTAAGAAATAGAAGGACGTGTACAACTGTTAGGTTGTTAAGGAATTAGAAATTTTAACATGGGCATATATGCCAAAAATAGGCAAAGAAATCAGTGTGAGATCATTTAGAAAGAAGGCTGACTTACATTAAAAAAAACCATTTCCGCCTTGACAGGGTTAATTATTAGTTCAGAAAGACAATTTAATGGAGGGAAGAGCTCAGGTTACTTCTCTGGTAAACAGTGCAGAAAGTCATTATTTTAGCATGTCATGCAATTTATGGCTTCTCTCCTTTAGCTCTAGGGAAGAATTCACCAGCTTCCAGATGCTGGCTGATCTGTTGGTCATTGTGTCCAGATAAAGCAATCTGAAAGTATAGTCACCAGGAGATCGTGGTTGAAAAATATTTAAGTATCTAAGTAGAGGAGAAGCATCACTCTGGGGTAGAAAAGAAGGAAAGAGTATAAAAGGAAGGGAAGAAGGAAGGAAGAAAAAAAAGAGTAAGTGCGATTTGTTTGTTACCATTAGATAAGATATAATCATTGCAAGGTGCTTTGGGAACCTACAGAGTTTAAAAAACTCAACAACAATGACTTTACATTCACAAAGAAGTAGACCTCTTTCTAAATCCACAGCAGTGGAGAATTAGGACTTCTGTGTGGAAGACGGGAACTCCTTGGAAAACCAGGTTCTTTCTGGCTACTGGCAAACGTAACACCTCAAGAAGGAACATGTCAGAAGCTGGTCTGTATGTGTGTTTGGATGTAATGGAAGAGACAGAGCAGAAGAAAAGAAATAGGATTTCCCCCACAACACATAGAAATAGCAGAGAAGAAACAATCTCCCTCATCACATAGTTCCATCTTGTCCTATGGGGTTTGCTGCCTGTCTCAGGTGCTGCTGCCTCAGGTACCTGGATCTGCTGGACCATGTTGCGGAGCTGCACCAGGAACTCCTTGGCTTCTTTGGCCCTGTCCGACAGCCCGTTCAGCGCCTGGGACAGCTGGCTCTGCAAGACAAAGAAGGAAGACATGGAGCTATAACCACATGACGCAGCAACAAGATCAAACAGGGCAGTGTTGACCCGAGGCCCAAGAGTCCTTGGCCCCCTCAGATTGCTCTTGTCTGAGTCAGGCCACTTAGCCGACATTGGTACATGTGGATTCTGATATCAGGGGCCTCCAGATGCCTTCCATTGGCTCCAAGTAGCTTCTCTTCTGAAGAAGTGAGACCTTCTGGCCACATAGTCAAAGGCCCTGGCCCACTGATATTTGCCTGGAATTTCCTCATCTCATTAAGTATTAATTCAGCAATAATTTATTCAATGCCTATTATTTGCAAGAATTAAAAAAAAAGCAGGGTCAGATGATCTGATAATTATCAACATTATTTAGCCCAAAGGCCTGTTGCTGTGGGGTCAGGGCAGACAGAGTGAAGAGAGTCAAGAACAGGACGAGGGAAGGAAGGAAGCATCCCAGTGTGATGCTCTGAGGCCATGTAAATGGAAAGATAACTACAAAGGCACAAGGACATTCTTCCTCATTAACATCCTCCTTCTCCCAAGTACAGCCCTGTTGCCTAACTCCTCTCCACACTAGCCTCCTAAACCAAGGCCTGCTGTCTGGGATATCCCACCCCACCCCATCCATATAGGGAAGCAGTTCTGCTGGGGGCACATGTCCAGGGAAGCACTTGCTTTCCCAGCCTCCTGTCTGCTGGGGTGGCCATGGACACACCCATGATGGATGAGACCTAAGTGGGAGTCATCTGGGGAGGTAGAGTCTGAGGAAGCCTCTGCATTTCTGCAAACATGGTCCCAGTGTCGCAGATGCACTCTTCTTCCCTTTTGTTCCTGACTTTATGACAAATTTCGTGTGATTCTCAAGAGGAAAGGGCCAACCTGATAAGGGAGCAGGGGTAGGAGGAGAAAGAGCCTGAGCTCTTTATGGCATCTGTGAACAGCTGAACCAACGCTTGAGGTCTCCTACCACTAGGCTTCTTGTTAAACTAACTCCAGGTTAAGTCCCTGCACTGGAGTTTCCCATCACTTGCAACCATCACCATTGCGCCTGATACAAAATTCCATCACCTGGCAGCCTGGGCATGTCCTTCCATCCCTCCTGTAAACTACAGAGACAGACTCCCTTTCCCACATGTCTTCTTTGAAAACGAAAGCCCGCTCTCCTCCTTGCCAACACAATGCCCCATCCACTTTTTCCTCTCAGGAAAGAGACAGAATCTTAAAATTGTATTTCTAGGTCCCATGTATGTTTTGCACTGATATTTGACTTATTAAATACAAAGTTGGGCACTAAATCTCTTTGAGAATATGCATGCCAAGTGCTTGGTGGAAGCAATGTAGAGTAGTAGAAAGAACAAAGAAAGCCTTTGGAAGGGTTTAAATTCTGGCTGTCCCTTACTAAGGGTGACCCTGAGAAAGTTAACTTGTGGCTGAATTATTCCAATGGGCAAAATGAGAATAATAATAATAATGATAATGATACTTTGCAGTTGGATTATTGTGAGGGTATTCACTAATGTGAAAGTTCCTGCTAGTGAAGGGTAGTGGTTAAGGGAATTATTCTGCATTAATAAATGCTGCCAGTTACTGGCTGTTCAAACTTTTACCCATAGTTTTACCTTATCCATAAAATGAAAAGAATACTGTTACTCTTGGAGGTTGTGGGCATTGTGTGATATACAATCCCTAAGGCCACGCTGGTGCATGGTGCATGCTTAATAAACATTGACTGTTATCAACTCTTTTTTACCTTCTTCCTTCCTGCTCACAAATGCCTGCTGACTGGCTGGGGACATTTGAAGGAGAGATTCCTGTAGAAGAATGTACTTTATCACTTGTGCTTTGATTTATGTACTCAGACTCTGGGAGGCCAGACCAACAACATAACAGAATAAGAAAAAGCATAAAATGAGACTACACTTGTGAAAGGTCTGGAGTGGGCCGGGGTTGCGCGCCTATGACACGAGGCCATAATGTATCAAAAAAGATTTTATTCCGACCACCTGGGCGCAGGTGGGCTGACACTGAGAAAGGCATCAGCGAAGAGAGCAGGGAGAGATAGGTTTTTATTAATCCTTGCTGGCTGTGAGCCGCTCTGCTGACATAAGGGTCTGGTGTGTCCTTGGTTCCTCCCATGCCAGGTGTCTTCTGGTTATCTGAGCTATGTTGTGCTCAAGGCTGCAAGCTTTCTGCAAGATATCTGCTAAGCACAAAAGTCTTTCTCTGCCCCGTTTTATTCTCTTTAACCCTTTCAACTTGCTGAAAGGGCTACTCAATTCTTTATTACTAGGTCCCAACGGCACTATAATTTGGGGTAAAGTTTTCTCCTCAAGAACTTTTTCCAAGAGCCCAAGGGATGAAGAGAGAAGAGGATCTCATTCAGAAGAGCAATCAATAAGATGAGAGACATATTCCAAAGGAGGCATTTTTCACTGTTCTTTGGAGCGAGCTCATAGCCCTTCTTTTTCTGAATGAGCAAAAGCTGGCTGTGCCACCCCAGTTTCCTCCGCCTTTTGATTGTAACCTTCACCTCAGTAACATTTGGAGGTTGGAGTACAGAAGCCAAATTCATTCAGTTACAGAGAACCGGAGCTACCTAATTTCTTGTATTCCAGCTTTGCAATTAATTGTTTGTATAAAGTAGGTCAAACCTCCCCCTCCCCCTAAAGAATTGTTGACCAAGTGCTGCTGTAAAATTATTCTGTAGTTGACAAAGAATGCTGGCCTCCCCCACTCTCAGGATTTTATCTGGCAAAGCAATAAATGAACTGCCAAATCTATTTGCAGATTTCCCCTCTTGGTGTCTACGTTAAGTCCTAAGGATCCCCTCTACCTGGCAAATGAGTGTTCTGGAATTTGAGAAACAACTGCATTATAAGATAAAGATCTAGAAACCTCCCTCTGAAGCTTTGCTAACTTGCAGAAATTGACAATGAAAAACACCGGAAACTGTTTATCACTGGAAAACGCTCTTCTCATTGTAAGGATTTAATGTGTGTGTTCTTTTTTACAGGATAGTCTTTTGATCACATTTATAAATTCCATCTGATATAGAATAACTTTATTATTGATGGATTTTGTTTCCCAGAAGCAATTAAATACCTGCTCTGTGCCAACGGAGACGTTCTGTATTCAAGGCCACAGAGTAGCCCTGTAAATTTATACCCACACACTCGAGATGCAAATATTTAGTGTGTGTTTTCGTTACGGGTGCGCGCCATTAGAAGCTGTTTATGATGCCTTGGCGATGGCATCCTGATTGCTTGGATAGTTGTTTTCAAATTTACTGAAAAAGTGTCATGATCAGAAAGTGAATGAGAGTGGAAAATGATGTAGCCAAAGAAGCACTGAAATTTCCAGTCAAGCGCTCAGCGCATGCTCTGAATAGCCAAGATCTCCCCAAAGGATGCAAGTTGTCCGGAGCCTGAGGAGAGAAACAAAGGACTCTGCCTCCCCCTTCCCTCCTCTCCTGATTTCCTGTCCAGTCTCTGCCCGGACTGGCTCCCCTGGCCTCCCAAAGGACAGAACGTTACAGGAGCGGGGGCTCAGCCTGGGAGTGCACAGGGAGGGTATCTCAAAGCCTGTTATGATTTAGGCTCAGCTAGTGGGTAAGGAAATTCCATGCATCCTGACTAGCTCCTTACTTGCCTGTGCATCCACCCAGCCTCGCCCAGCCCAGCTGCTAAGCAAGCACACACAGAAGACAGGGTCTTCCTTCCTTTCCCTGCCATGAGCATTATTCATGTGTCAACCTCCCACCCCCACCCCCCAATTTACTACGACTATTGGATGGAGACAAATTGGGGCAAAGGAAGCTTCCTGGCTGCCTGGGGTCTGAAGTTACAGCACCCTTGCTGCCTCCCCAGGGAGGCTCTGTCACAGTGCATGCTGCTCAGGACTGCAGCCCCATCCACCTCCTTCCCAGGGACCGAGGCCAACACAAAACGCAGGAGCAAAGCGACAATCCAGGCAATGTGATCTGAAGGAAGTCGCCCCCCACCCCCACCCCCTACCCAGGGGAATAACAATTTTTCTTGAAATACTGACGTTTGAGTCTCACTACGTACTGACATTATATAATTAAAAAGTAAAAGCAAGAAATTCTAATAGTTATAATATATTGGCCATTTACTTTAAGCCAGGAACTCTGACAGGTGCCTTTACTACGAGCCCAATGTAATCCCGGTCACCACCCTGCCATTGGCAGAGGCTCAGAGGGGTACAGCTGGGCTCAGGTTTGACCACTCACATGTGGAAGAACCGAAACACAAACCCTCGTCTGACCCCAAAGTCATGCTCTTTGCCCCACCCTCCCAAAGCAGAGAACTCTTCCTTCACCCATGCAGGAAGGAACCAGAACAGCCCATGGTAAGAGCTTGTAAAACCAAAGATGATGAGCTGATAAGGGGTTTTTTTATGCTTAACAATCAGACAGTATGGAAACCATAGCATGGCTAATTAACCTGTGAAATGTTCAATTTTTTTTTTCCTACTTAAAGTTTTTTTGGTGAATTTGAAAAGGATCCCTGTCAAAGAGAGGGGTCTCATGGGAGAGGGCAAGCAGCTTTGGACCGGGGTCCAGTCCTGGCTTTCTCACCTACCGACCTGAGACCTTGGCAGAAACCAGGCTGAGCATGGAATGAGGTAAACACATGAGAATTCACCCAGTGAACCCTTAAGCCGAGGAACCTTCAAACAGAGCCACCCAAGGGCCTGCTTTCCTTCTAGCTAACGCTCCTCTTCTTCCTGCCTGCGCCCCTCCTGCCCCCCGAGGGGGAGGGGGGTCTCTCCTCTGGATTCCCTGGTGGTGGAAGCTCCCGGATCTACCCCAGTCCCAGCTCACTGCAGTTACATGGGGAGGCAGCCTCAGAGGCTGGTCTGCCGGGAGGTGCCACCCTATCTTTCAGCCCAGCAGCAGGGCTAGGGCTGTGAACAGGCTGCAATCTGCAGGCCCAGTAGCTGAGCCTGGGAACTGATACACAAAGCCC